ATTTAGTGCTATAAATTTCCCTCTACACACTGCTTTAAATGTGTCCCAGAGATTCTGGTACATTGTGTCTTTGTTCTCATTGGTTTCAAAGAACATCTTTATGTTATGTACCCAGTAGTCATTCAGGAGCAGATTGTTCAGTTTCCACATCGTTGAGCGGTTTTGAGTGCGTTTCCTAATCCTGAGTTCTAATTTGATTGCACTGTGGTCTGAGAAACAGTTTGTTGTGATTCTGTTCTTTTACATTTGCTAAGGATTGCTTTTCTTCCAACTATGTGTTCAATTTTGGAACAAGTGCGATGTGTTGCTGAGAAGAATGTATATTCTGTTGATTTGGGATGGAAAGTTCTGTAGATGTCTATTAGGTCCACTTGGTGCAGAGCTGAGTTCAAGTCCTGGATATCCTTGTTAACTTTCTGTCTCGTTGATCTGTCTAATGTTGACAGTGGGGTCTTAAAGTTTCCCATTATTATTGTGTGGGAGTCTAAGTCTCTTTGTAGGTCTCTAAGGACTTGCTTTATGAATCTGGGTGCTCATGTATCAGGTGCATATATATTTAGGATAGTTAACTTTTCTTGTTGAATTGATCCCTTTACCATTATGTAATGGCCTTCTTTGTCTCTTTTGATCTTTGTTGGTGTAAAGTCTGTTTTATCAGAGACTAGGATTGCAACCCCCGCTTTTTTTGCTTGTTTGTTTTCCATTTGTTTGGAAATAGAAAACATTTATTTTGAACCTATGTATGTCTCTGCATGTGAGATGGGTCTCTGAATACAGCACACTGATGGGTCTTGACTCTTTATCCAATTTGCCAGTCTGTGTTTTCTAATTGTACATTTAGCCCATTTACATTTAAGATTAATATTGTTATGTGTGAATTTGATCCTGTCATTATGATATTAGCTAGTTGTTTTTCCCATTAATTGATGCAGTTTCTTCCTAACATCGATGGTCTTTACAGTTTGCCTTTTTTTTGCAGTGGTTGGTGTAGGTTGCTCCTTTCCATGTTTAGTGCTTCCTTCAGGAGCTCTTGTAAGGCAGGCTGGTGTGACAAAATCTCTCAGCATTTGCTTGTCTATAAAGAATTTTATTTCTCCTTCACTTATGAAGCTTAGTTTGGCTGGATATGAAATTCTGGGTTGAAAAAAATTCCTTTTTTAAGAATGTTGAATATTGGCCCCCACTCTCTTCTGGCTTGTAGGGTTTCTGCCAAGAGATCTACTGATAGTCTGATGGAATTCCCTTTGTGGGTAAACCGACCTTTCTCTCTGGCTTCTCTTAACATTTTTTCCTTCATTTCAGCTTTGGTGAATCTGACAATTATGTGTCTTGGGGTTGCTCTTCTTGAGGAGTATCTTTGTGGTGTTCTCTGTATTTCCTGAATTTGAATGTTGGCCTGTCTTGCTAGGTTGGGGAAGTTTTCCTGGATAATATCCTGAAGAGTGTTTTCTAACTTGGTTCCATTCTCCCCGTCACTTTCAGGTATACCAATCAAATGTAGATTTGGTCTCTTCATATAGTCCCATATTTCTTGGAGGCTTTGTTCATTTCTTTTTACTCTTTTTTCTCTCAACTTCTCTTCTTGCTTTATTTCATTAATTTGATCTGCAATCACTGATACCCTTTCTTCCACTTGATCGAATCAGCTATTGAAGCTTGTGTATGCATCACATAGTTCTCATGCCATGGTTTTCAGCTCCATCAGGTCATTTAAGCTCTTCTCTACACTGTTTATTCTAGTTAGCCATTTGTCTAATCTTTTTTCAAGGTTTTTAGCTTCCCTGTCATGGGTTCGAACATCCTTCTTTAGCTCAGAGAAATTTGTTATTACCGGTCTTCTGAAGCCTACTTCTGTCAGCTTGTCAAAGTCATTCTCCATCCAGCTTTGTTCCATTGTTAGTGAGGAGCTGCAATCTTTTGGAGGAGCAGAGGATCTCTGGTTTTTAGAATTTTCAGCTTTGCTGCTCTGGTTTCTCCCCATCTTTGTGGTTTTATCTACCTTTTGTCTTTGATGTTGGTGACCTACAGATGGAGTTTTGGTGTGGATGTCCTTTTTGTTGATGTTGATGCTATTCCTTTCTGTTTGGTAGTTTTCCTTCTAATAGTCAGGTCCCTCAGCTACAGGTCTGTTGGAGTTTGCTGGAGGTCCACTCCAGACCCTGTTTGCCTGGGTATCATCAGCGGTGGCTGCAGAACAGCAAATATTGCAGAACAGCAAATATTGCTGCCTGATCCTTCCTCTGGAATTTCATCCCAGAGGGACACCTGCCTGTATGAGGTGTCAGTTGGCCCCTACTAGGAGGTGTCTCCCAGTTAGGCTACTTGGGGGTCAGGGACCCACTTGAGGAGGCAGTGTGTCTCTTCTCTGAGCTGAAACACCATGCTGGGACAACCACTGTTTTCTTCAGAGCTGTCAGACAGGGATGTTTAAGTCTACAGAAGTTTCTGCTGCTTTTTATTCAGCTATGCCCTGCCACCAGAGGTGGAGACTACGAAGCAGTAGGCCTTGCTGAGCTGAGGTGGGCTCCGCCCAGTTCTAGCTTCCCTGACTGCTTTGTTTACCTACTCAAGCCTCGGCAATGGTGGACACCTCTCCCCCTGCCATACTGCTGCCTCGCAGGTCAATTTCAGACTGTTGCGCTAGCAGTGAACAAGGCTACATGGGTGTGGGACCTGCCGAGCCACGCATGGGATATAATCTCCTGGTGTGCCATTTGCTAAGATCATTGGAAAAGCACAGTATTTGGGTGGCAGTGTCCTGTTTTTCCAGGTACTCTCACAGCTTCCCTTGACTAGGAAAGGGAAATCTCCCAATCCTTTGTGCTTCCTGGGTGAAGTGACGCCCTGCCCTGCTTCCGCTCACTCTCTGTGGGCTGCACCCACTGTCCAACCAGTCCCAGTGAGGTGAACCAGGTACCTCAGTTGGAAATGCAGAAATCACCCGTCTTCTGCATCAGTCACAATGGGAGCTGCAGACTGGAGCTATTCCTATTCGGCCATCTTGGAACGGAATCTGGAGATCTTTTTATCATTGAGCATAAAGTTCCAGAAGCTGCACTTGGTGAGGATTCCTTAACTTTCCCAACCAGAATAAATTACTCCTCTATTGTGTCACTTCTATTTCATGTACATATATCATATTTATGTACCTATATATCATATATATGGTATATATTTACCATATATTTCTCATATATATCATATATTTCTCATATATATCATATATATTTCTCATATATAATATATATACACACACACACACCCCCCTCTACTATAAGAAATGAGTACTCTGACATTCTTTGTTGTCATGTCAAATTCCCCTGCTAGACTGTGATGTAGATTGTCTAGAAAGACTGTCTGGAGCCCAAGAAACATCTGGGTGAAAAAGGAATTTAAAAATCTACCTACTGGATCTTTTCTTCTAGACTGTGAAGGTCTTAAGCAAGTTCTCCAGCAGGAAAGAGCCCCAACTAGGAACTTGTATAAAAGAAGGGGGGTCCTGGGCTGGTGACCTGGACTTCTTTGCACAGCGATGAAAAGAAAGCCTAGTTCTGGTATATTCTGTATGTGAATATAGAAAAGTCCCAAAAGTCCCTCCTCGCTCTGTCTTTCTAACATGGTGGACTCACTCTGAATGTAGGCTCACTCTTCCTTTGTGTCAGAACTACTGCAGCCACTGCAGAATTTTTATCAAAAGTGCCTTATGACAGTAAGACCTGTTTAGAACAACAATGCTGTGACACAGACTGAAACAATAGTGGCCGAAAAACAGAGGCTGCTGGAAGACTGGTTACATTACTGTGTACTTTTATCACCCCAAAGCATTTGGAAGTAGGATTGGCTTTTAAAATTAAGTTCTCATGGTTTTGGGATTATTCAGTGAAGGAGGAGAGGCCTCAAGGGAAAAACATTGGTCTTCTGAGAATGCAATATTTTACCCTGAGGCAGTTTATTTTGAAAGATTGAGTTGTGACCTTCCCAAACCCTTAGCTCATGAGGTGGATCATACCAGCCACAGAATGAATAGTCATCAAAGATATTTTTTCACTTGAAGACTGCCAAGCCCAGATCTATGCTGTAGGAAAATTGCTCTGGCAAAAAAAAAAAAAAAAAAAAGGTGTGTGGGAGTGGGTAAGAATAAAGAGAATAGGACTAGTTAGAAGGCTTAGTATGATTTCTGGTTAGAGATAATGGAAGCGCTAAATGATGATAATCCAGAGGAAATGAATTGAAGGGAAAATAGGAGTTTCATAATTTGGAGAGAAGATTGACAGGTTCTAGACATTTATGAGACACATGGGGTAAGGGAGGAGTCCTAAGGTTCTTAGGTGTTTAGTCAGAGTAATAACACAAAAGGAATCACAAAAGGGAAGAATCAGTGTGGTAGAGAATATGTGAATCTGGAGTAGTATATAGGTTTGAAGTAGTAGAGATATAGATGTATACATATAGACTAGTTCAACACAGTGGTTTTCATAACTGGCTTTCATTAGAATCGCCTCGTGAGGTTATCTTTCCTTAAATGCAGCCATTTCTGCTAAAGCTGGAATTTTTATATTACAAGATAGATATACCAATAGATATATCATGATTGATTATGTAGATAATAGATTTTGATTTACTCACATTCTACAAACTGCTATTGAACATAATGCTATCATGAGCAGAAAGCGATAGGGAGACAATGATTGAAAACTAGCAGCACATATTAAAATAAAAGCTGTTTCTTGGGCAACATAGCTGTTTTGTGCCTCCTATGTTAATGATTTATAAAAGTGGTAAATTTTATATAATAACTTCAGCACTAATGAGCATTCTGGTTGGGTAGAGAAGGGACAATAATAAGGAAACCTAATGAAATCAAATCTGGATTTGCTTGATTTTGTATCTATTTTATAGCCATACTTAAACAAAAATAAGTACAGGAAAAATTATCTCTCTATATGACTGATAATTTATATAATTTATAGCTCCTAACTCTCCTTTTTATTTTTCATCAGAATACTTGTTTTAACAACACACTGTGAAAATTAGAAGTTTCTGAAGGCTACAACTCTTATGCGATGGTCAAAAGATTTTACAATTTTCCTGCTCAGATCTACTTAATCAGATTATCTCAAGGTAAGGTCTTTAGAAACTAATAGAACAAGAAGTATCTGGGAATCACTGAATGAAGCTGTCAGAAGTCGGTGCAGGATAAATTTCAAGTCACTGATAAGAGGGAAGGTAGGTGATAATACTAAAGAAGACAGAAAACAAAAACTTGGAGAAAAGCCTATATTTTCAGGTTCATAGATTTTTTTTTTTTTTTTTTTGAGACGGAGTCTCACTCTGTCACTCAGGCTGGAGTGCAGTGGCCAGATCTCAGCTCACTGCAAGCTCCGCCTCCCGGGTTCACGCCATTCTCCTGCCTCAGCCTCCCGAGTAGCTGGGAGGGACTACAGGCGCCCGCCGCCTCGCCCGGCTTAGTTTTTTGTATTTTTTAGTAGAGACGGGGTTTCACCGGGTTAGCCAGGATGGTCTCGATCTCCTGACCTCGTGATCCGCCCGTCTCGGCCTCCGAAAGTGCTGGGATTACAGACTTGAGCCACCGCGCCTGGCCAGGTTCATAGACTTTTTAAAAACCAGATTGCTGTGTACAATTTTTTAATTGTTGGGAGGGAGTCAGAAGAGATGGTGCCAGGTACAGGTGTGTTTACTCTGGCAGGAGAGACTGCTTCTCTACTATGCTTACAGTACAGGCCAGTGTGAATTCATATTGTGATCTTTGTCTACAGAACTAAAAGAGGGCTTGGACAGAGGTAGAGGAAGAAGGAGTTGCGACTGCTCAGCTGTATTGACAGCAGGACTGTGTGTAGGTCTTACTTTCACTGGTAGTGAATGTAGGTCATCCCTGGCACAGAAGGTTGTGTTGCGAAAAGCAAAAACAAGCTTTCAGGGAAGATTCAAAATAGGAGTGGTAAGTGCGCCCTCTTTAGGTTGTGCAGGATCAAAGGAAGAATCCTGGCAATTGATAAGTATTTAGAAAGGATTTATAGAATGAATAAATGAGCAAATTAAGTGTGCCTTAGAATCTTTGTGCCTCATTTTTCTCACTGGGTTGTTTTGGGGAGAAGGAATGAAGTTGCTCTAGCTATAATACAAATAATTGTTAGATAAAATAGTACTTTATTGATATATGATTACTTTTACTTTTTAGGTTTCTGAAGATCACAGAACTTAACTAAAACAACATTTTTGTCATAAGCAATTAAGATTTAAGCATTACTCTAGACTTAGAGAATTATTTTTGGTGTAAAGCAGGTAAATTGAGTAAAGATGCAGCATAATTTCTGATCTAGTGAAGAGAAAGATAAAATTGCTGGCTATCTGCAAGTAATTTAATGACCAAACTGAGATCTAAATTTGATATTTGAAAAAAAAAAAATGAATTTCTCTAAAAACCAACATATGTTAAATGAATGCAAGGCAGTTAGTTTACAGGGTTATTTTAAAATAAGTAGTTTTTCACATTTATCAATTATCCTCAAAATTGTCCTCTAGGGAAAGCAAGATCTGTGTGATTTATCCTTATTTTATAAATGAGGAAACTGAGGCTTAGTGGAGTTCAGAGATTTACTTGCTGAAGATTACCAAACTAGTAATTTTGGATCTGCAACTTGGCTTACTTCAGGTAAAAGCTCTATCCTGATTACACACTGACTTGCTTTGGGATGTGGAATGCAGGAATGAGTCAAGGAAGGAAGAAGGTTCTTTCAGAAAGTTTCAACTATGACAGATGAAGGCAAAAAAAAAAAAATATGGAAGGTCAACATGTTCTTGTTTTGAAAGTGCATTTCCTGTTTTTAGCACAATTATCCCTTAGTATGCTTCATTTATCATAAAGATATAATGTTAAAGGTTTAATAACTAACAGTCTGGAATCTATTGAGAATTGGCAGCAAATTTATGACATACTCAATCCAGAAGAATTTTACGGTTTTAAGGGATCCAGATGTAGTTTCAGAATTAGGGAATGAAATAAAGTCTAAAGTTTAACACTCACAAGAGAAATAACTGATGTTGGGGACTGTCATGCTATCTTCTATTTAAAGGTAACCGCCTCGTAGTAGAAAATATGATTATCTTTTTTTTTTTTTTTGAGACAGAATTTGGTTCTGTGGCCCAGGCTGGAGTGCAGTGGCACAATCTCAGCTCACTGCAACCTCCGCCTCCCGGGTTCAAGTAATTGTTTTGTCTCAGCCTCCTGAGTAGCTGTGACTACAGGAGCGCACTGCCACGCCCGGCTAATTTTTTTTTGTATTTTAGTAGAGACGGAGGTTCACCGTGTTGCCCAGGCTGGTCTCGAACTCCTGAGCTTAGACAATCTGCCCGCCTCAGCCTCCCGAAGTGTAGGATTACAGGCGTGAGCCAACATGGCTGGCCAAACATTGGATTATCTTAATGCCTCATGTGATCACCAAATATTAAACCTATATGAGTCTTTGTATTTTCTTTAGAACAGCAACTCTCTATGACATAAATTCAAAGTGTGCTTGGTGGCTCATTTAAATTCAGAGTCAATGTGATTCTTCAGAAACTTTAAAGATTAAATGAGCCTGAGAGACTGATAAATCACTTCTGTTATAAATCATATCTTAAGACATTAGATAGAAAGGTTGTAGAAAGCCAGATTCTCAAACATTTCAGTAATTCTGCAATTAAACTTTTTTCTAAGGTGTCCTGGTACTAAGTACAATAAGACGAGGGCATGTTTCAGGATATATCTGAAATATTAGAAAGTTATGTAATTTGTGTGTTGAATGATTACAAAGATAAGTAGTGTTTAATTTGAAATCCTGCTATATAGACAATAGTTTATGTTCTAGACTTAAAAAGAGAAATTAGTCCTACTGTTTTTGTCTAATACTGGAAATAAACTTATTTTATTCTAAAGCAGAGGTATAGGGAAAGTACAAATGATCCACCAAAAGATCTTGGGATGACTACAGATCTGTGTGTTTGTGTGTGTATGTGAGTGTGTGTGTATCAAAATCTGACCATAATAATGGTTGCTAAACTGTTAGTATCAGAAGACCAGTTTAAAATGTATTTTAAATCTAAGAGAAAAATTATAATTAATTCTTAGTTTTATTTATTTGCATATACAAGTGGTAAACATCTGGAAAAGATTAAGAATTTTGTATATTTTATTAAAAATGGAAATTATAAATGATGAGCATGGTTAATATTTTCTGCTTTCTGTTACTAAACAGACTTCCCATTTATTAAGAGGTTATAGGAGCGCATTGAATTAATTCATAACACAGGAATGAAAGACAGGCTACAATTGGATCTTTTGAACTTCATATACAACTTGTAATCTTACAAAATCGCATTATATGTAATAAAGCAAAATTCCTATTTAAATAAATGATTTTTTTTAAAGAGATGGGGTCTTTCCATATTCCCCAGGCTAGTCTTGAACTCCTAGCCTCAAGAAATCCTTCATTTTGGCCTCCCAAAGTGCTGAAATTACAAGCGTGAGCCACTGCGCCTGACTGGAGAAACGGATATTAAAATTGGGCTTTAAAAAATCAATTATTGTGGTGCCTCACACCTGTAATCCTAGCATTTTGGGAGACCAGGTGGGTGGATCACTTGAGGTCAGAAGTTTGAAACCAGCCTGACCAACATGGTGAAACTCCGTCTCTACAAAAAATACAAAAAAGTTATCCAGGTGTGGTGAAGGGTGCCTGCAATCCCAGCTACTCGGGAGGCTGAAGCAGGAGAATTGCTTGAACCCAGCAGGAGGAGGTTGCAGTGAGCCAAGATTATGTCACCGTACTCCAGCCTGGATGACACGGCAAGACTCCATCTCAAAAAAAAAAAAAAAAAATCAGTGATCATTTAATATTTTGGATTCTAAACTATAATTTCTAAACAGTTAAAAATTTTTCTTTGTTTAGATTTTACTCAGATATTAAGGAATATTATTAAATATATAAATTCAAACTTTTTATGAATTCCAAGAAAATAAAATTATTTTGATGGCTAAAAAATTATATGCAAAGCTAATGGGAAAATAAAATGGTACAGTCACTTTGGAAAATTTTCTGATGGTTCCTCAAAAGGTTAAACATAGATTTGCCATATAAACCAGTAATTCCATTCCTATGTACATACCCAAGAGAAATAAAAAACATATTGTGTTAGTCCGTTTTCACACTGCTATAAATAAATAGGTGAGACTGTACAATTTATAAGAAAAGAAGTTTAATTGGCTCACGGTTCTGCAGGCTGTATGGGTTCAATAGCGGCTTTTGCTTCTGGGGAGGCCTCAGGAAACTTGCAATCCTGGCGGAAGGCAAAGGGAAAGCCAGCACTTTACATAGCTGAAGCAGGAGGAAGAGAGAGGGGGAAGGTGCTATACCCTTTTAGACAACCAGATCTTGTGAGAACTCACTCACCATCACGAGAAAGGCACTGAGGGGATGGTGCTAAACTATTCGTGAGAACTCCACCCCCATGAATCAACCACCCCACCTCCAACATTGAGGATTACAATTGCACATGTGATTTGAGTGGGGACATAGAGCCAAACCATATCACATATGTCCACACAAAAATTTGTATATGAATGTTCATAGTACCATTGTTCATAATAACCCAAAAGTGGAAACAATCCAAATGTTCATCAGCTGATGAATGAATAAACAAAATGCGGTGTATCTGTACAAAGTAATATTATTTGGCAATAAAAAGAACTGAAATACTGATGCATGCTATAACATGGGTGATGCTTGGAAACATTATGCTAAGTGAAAGAAAGTCACAAAGGATCAAATGTTGTATGATTCTATATCGTATGTATGTACGACTCCATATAAATATTGTATGATTCCATATATACATATACATATATATATATATATATATATATGGATGCCTGGTATAGGCAAATCCATAGAGACAGAAAATCTATGAATGGTTGCCTAGGGCTGGGAAGGAGGAGAGTTAAGAAAAAATGGGAAGTGACTGCTAATGGGTGTGAATTTTCTTTTTAGTGTACTAAAAATATTCTAAGACTGATTTTGATGATACTTCCACAATTCTGTGAATACACCAAAAATCACTGAACT